CTAATTCTGTTTTTAAACTCTAAAGCGATTCTGTTTTTCTAAAAAGAATAAAATCTTATCTTTCAATTTCTTGCTCCAGATTATAATGGCAAACATATCACTTTGAGTTCTCCAAAGAAAGATCATGGTAGAAACAATTCTTTCATAAAGGAATGAACCAGTCAAAAAAAAAAAAAAAATACTCCTCTGCTCTTTTTAAACCTTGCTAAGAGCAAATGTTCTTACATCTACATAAATCTTTTCACTGGCACCGAAACAAAGACTATGTTTATATATAACAGGGTCCTTCTAATGAATGCTAGAAATAGAACAATAAGGCAGTTAGAAAAAAATTGATCTCTGGAGTATCAACAGGTACAATATAATAATAGAAAAATGGCCTGTTCAGGGTAAAAACAACTCCATTCTTCATTTAACTGTCTGCACACAGCTGAATGCCTAAAAGCAAGGCTTTTTACAAGTAACGTAGTTTTAATGACCTCTGAAAGCTTGAGTTCAAACTTAGACTTTTAAGCATCCTTTGATGTCCAAATGTATTGTGCTGAGATGCAGAAAATGTGTATTCAAGTTCCCAGATCACGACTAATCACTGTGCAACCTTAAAATTACCTAGCTTTCTTGAGCCTTAGTCTCTTCATCTAGGGGGCAAAAAATGGGGGACTTGGTTACTGAAGTTTCTCACAGTGTCCAATTCTGTGCTTCTGGTATTCCAAAATATGGCACAGAGCAAAAACATTTCCCAAAACTTCCTAGTGAATCTCATACTCATACATTTAGTATTATACCACTAAATTAAATATATATATATATCAGATTGTCATGGATTTCTCTTTCTGTATATACTCCCTTTATGTTTCTATTAGAGGTTGATATTATTAGCACCTCTCCCCAGGCCAACTCCATAAATTCATTTGTGGTAAAATGAAGTTTAGCATAACACCACCAGTTCACATTGAATAAAAAAGGAATATACAAAATAATCTAACTTGAGGATTTGACCAGGAGGATGATGTCATGAGTGTTTGTGCTTTACCCCAGCGCTGTTGGTTTGTGCTTACCTCACGAATACTGCAATGATGTCACTAATACAATGTCTTTTTTTGACCAAGTTGCCAGAAAGCTGAAACTCCCTAAAGCTAAATCAGTGGCCCACCATGAGCAAAAGTCAGGGACTTTATGGCATGCTTTTTTGCTTCACCCTTTGATCCATTTGCCTTGCAAACCTGATTGCTCCTTTGTCTTATTTTTATGGCTTGTTTGCATTTATTTTATCATGAAATATTATATGCATTTCTGTGCCACTTAAGTTCTGTTTGGAATAAGGCACTCATCAAATCTTGATGAAACCTGCTTAATTTTCTTCTGCCTTTACTCACTCAGCTGAAAGTGGTAGAAAGGGTACCCATGAGCCCACAAATAGGCCTCCAATGTGCCCCTCCCCCTTCCTACAAATGCCCCCACAGGCTGCCCTCCAGTGACTTTTTTTTCTCCTCCTAAAATGCTTCCAAAGTTGTTCTGAGTGAAAGGAAAGCAAAGATTAACAAAAGAGCAAATCTAAGAGTTCCTCCTTTTCAGACCTATAAGAAAGTTTGCAAATATATTGCTGCCACAGCCATTACCCATAGTGTGGGCGGGACTGCTTCTGATTATTACTGAGAGGAGACAAAGCATTCTTTCCAATGGTTCCAAGAAGCTTTGGTAAAAGAGGCCTAACTCGCTCATAAAAAGGAAAAAACAAAAACAAAGCTTTCAAAGACATCAAGGAAAGGTGTTGTTTTAATGATGGAAACATCTTCGTTGTGGCTGGATAATTAGTCGTGGGTCAGCTTTGATACTGTGGAATTCCACTTCAGCTACACATACACAACTTACAGTACTCGTGTGTATCAGTTTGCTAGAGCTGTTATAACAAAATAGCACAGATGTATTTTCTCACAATCCTGGAGGCTGGAAGAAAGTCTAAGATCAACTCTGTGTGCAGGGTTGTTTCTTCTGAGGCCTCTCTCCTTGGTTTGTGCCTTCACACAGTCCTTCCTCAGTAACTGTCCAAATTTCCTTTTCTTATGCCTACACTGGTCATATTGGATTAGCCTGCTGTAACAACCTTATTTTAACTTAATTACCTCTTTAAAGAGCCTATCTCCAAATAGTCACATTCTGAGGTACTAGGGGTTAAAACTTTAACATATGAATTTTGGGGGCACATAATTCAGACCATAACATTGTGTGTGTGTGTGTGTGTGTGTGTGTGTGTAGTCAATGTGTGAAGTATATTTCTATCTCTTTTATAGGCCTAAGCAAGATTTTATTATTTTAAATGTTATTTAATCAGTTATTCAAGAATTATTTATAGAGCATCTACTATGTCCCAGACCCAGTTCTGATTATCTTAGAAGTAGCTTAATTGAATGAGTTCTTGTTGGTCACAGCCATATTGGGTTTGACATAGATGTGATCAGGAATCTCAAGTGTTCTTTCCACTCCATTTTCCAGCATGCATCTCAGGGATGTAGCAGACACCTCTCAGACTTCCTGTAAGTTCCACACTGAGGATAAAAGAGCTGAGTACATGGAGTCAACAAAACTTGCTGAACAAAATTCAGATCTGCAATACACCGAGTTGTTCCAACCTAAGAACCAGTCCATTCCAAATTGCTCCACATAGGTCATACCTACATAGCAAATTATTTTAAATAATGCTACCCTGTTCTCAGTAGCAATTTAGTCAATGCAAGGTATGGGAAGGGGGCATGAAAGATAAGGTACCACCTCTGCATTCAAAAGTTCCAAATCTAATGTTCCTTGCTGAAAATCCATGAGGAGAGAGATCGCCTCTCTTTCATTTTCCTAGGCTTTTCCTTCCCTTTCGTTTCTCCCCTGACCTGGGAGCTACCACTGATGATCTTCAGCCCAGGAGTTACCTGGGGCTACCACTGATGATCTTCAGCCCAGCTGGTGGCACTCAGAGAAAGAGGTTCTTGAGTCTCAAGCTCAGGCCTGGCTATTGCTGGGAGCATCATCAAAAGGGTGAAAACTTACTAGTTCTGAAAAGCCCTGTATGTAGCTACTTTTCTTATAAAATATTCATAGGTTTTCTGCCAATATTGTTAATTAGAAGATACCAAGATATCACAGAATTATAGTACTAGAAGGGATATTTTTGGGTCAAAATAGAAGAAAATTTATGTTGCCATCCCTGATCATCAACCTAATTTCCCTCCCTAAAATCTTCATGGTGCCTGTGGTCAGCTGGCAAGATGTAATTCGAGTAACTGGGCTACTCTTTGCATCATCTTCCTTGGATGTGCTTAAAAGGCTGAAAGGAATGGAAGCTACTTCACTTTGGTGAGTCTGCTTAATAAATAGCATAACTGCAATGCCCAAAGGCATAAACATTGATTTTTTTTCACTCCTTCAAACAATGACCTGCTCATCATTCCAATCTCTTTGCAACAACTACAAATGCCTCATGCTATTTTTCACAGATTGCTCAAAAAGTCATTCCTAAGTTGTCTTAACTAAATGACTGGGCAGGAGTAACAGAGATAGACAAAGCTTTACAATCAATCAAAGAAACAAACAAATAAATAATAAATCCACAATTATTAAGTCCAAAAAACATCCAACCTTTTTCTGAAAGATTGCAGCAACCTCATTTAAAGGTAAAACCTGACCTGGTGAGACATAAGGCTATTTATAGTCCTTATTGATCCAGCTTAGCGTGAATATTCATATGTTTTGCTGCAGAAATGTAAATGTATTTGATTTCAGACTCTGCTGAGAGTGTTAGATAATATAGGATATATGCACCCTGTTACCTTTCTAAAATAAAACTTTAAAATTCTGATTTCCAAGTCACATCTGGCCCTAAGGGTTTCAGATAAGGCATTAGGACGTGTAGTTTAAGTCACAATCAGTGGATAACCTAGGTAACTCAATACGGCTACTACAGTCAAGTCTTTTTTTATTTGAATGCATTGAAGAAAATCAATGGACGGTGGATGTTAACTGTCCCTGAGCTTTGCTGGGGCATTCTAAGCTCTGTTTCCTCTTTATCTGCTGTCAGGACACAGGTTGGAAGGCCCTACCTCATTGGCAGGGGCTGCTCAGGGCACAGCCTGGGAAAAGAAATGTATCCAGTGGGCAGTGAGGCCCCTGTCAAGGGAGGACTATTCTTTATCCAACTTTTTGAAACTCACAGTATGTTAAAAGTTAATAAAAACCCTACAACAGGGACATTAAAACTGCCTTTAAAAATGTTTGCATTGAATAAATTAACCCTTAAAATATTTATAACAAATTATCATAATTACGTGACTATGGCAATCTAACGAAATGCATCATTTAATGTTGATGGAAATATTCACACACGGCGCCCTAAAAACAGCGTGCTCTAATAATGGGTAGCAATTTACAGCTGGCAGATGAGCATGGTTTCCTCCGTTCTCTGTGTAAGCCTCTGTGACTAGGTGTGGAACCTCAGAAGACATGAAGTCAAAGCCTACACTTAGAGCCCTTGGGAGATGAAAGTCCAGTCCCTTGAGAGGTCCCAGTAAAAAGGAAGGGGGCAGAAAAGGGGACAGAACCTGGCTCCCCAGTGAGAACTAACAGTCAGCAGCATGGCTGTTCCACTTGCAGGTAATCAAGAACTGTCTGTATGCTTTAAGGCAGAAAGAGAAAGATTGTTTCAAAGTTTCCATTTTAACATCTCACACTGTCACATCACTGATGTTCTTCATTGAAGTTTTGGCTAATAAGTTCAGGTGGAGAATAAGATGCTAGTGCATTAGAAGGGGCTAAATTTAGCATCAAAAACCTGTGGGAGTGACTCTAACAAGGGCTGCTGAAGATACTTCAGCTTAATTACAATCAATTCTTTAACCCTTATGGCTCTCGTTTTCTGCTACTGTATGTGAATATCCTACAGCTAATTTGCCTCATGCAATACATTAACATAGTTGTCTAGGTGTTTATAAAGGAAATAGAAAGGCATGATTTGTAGGAGAAAATGAAAACAAACCTCCCTAAATCCCACAGTAAAGGAATAGACGACTACAACAGGACATATCCATTCCATGAAGGAATATGCAGCTATTAAAAACTGAGTAGAGAACAATGTAGCAACATGGAGAATGCTTATGTTATGATGTTCACTAGAAGCCCGGAAGACTAAATACTTTGCAGGTGATGATGGTCCCAAACATTTTTCTTTTTCTTTTTTCTTTTTTTAATGAGGCAAAAACATGGGCAATATTTGGTTCAGAATAAGCAAAGTATTTAAACGACCAAACTGTCAGGTTGTAGGATTTATATATGAATATTTCCTTTATTCCAAAAATGTCGTTTGGGCAACCAAAAGCACAAGAAGGAAAATAGTGTGTGTTTTGTCTGTTAGACCTTCAGGACTGGTCATCAAACTTCAAGTTCATAAGTTTGAGTGGCTTTTTTGTTGTTGTCGTCGTTGTTGTTGTTGTTGTTGTTATGGGTTTTTATTATTGTGGCTATTGTTTTGCTTGTTCCGTTTTTGTTTAACAATTGCACAGGGGCTTTCGATGATAAATCCTGAGGACCTCTGAGCCAGTCTGGCCCAGAGTTACAATCCACATGTGGATCAGAAGTGAGGGCTGAGCAGGGAAAGGTGGAACGGGCTCAGGAAATAACTCCTAGTTCTCTGGGTCCATCCAACGCCAAACAACCACCCCCGCTTTCATTTAATACCAAACCAGCCCCTCCGCCTCTTTTCCCAAGGAAAACTCAATAAGCTGGGCTTTTATGGCCCTGTGGTTTATTTTACTGTTAACAGTTGTTTTATATGCTAAATTGTTCATGTATCACCCATATTAAAAGTGTCCTTTAAAAACTACAGGCATACCTCGGAGGTATTGCGGTTCAGTTCCAGACCACAGCAATAAAGTGTGTATACCAATAAAGCAAGTAGTAACTTTTTTGCTGGTGGTGGGTCTTGCCTTTAACTTTTAAGAAAAGCAACATCTGTGACGCACAATAAAACCAGATATGCCTGAACTGCTACCGAGGCCTTCGTCATCCACAGCTCCTCTCATTTTCCTATCCAGGAAATGTGCTGTGGGCCTCTCCAGAGTTGGGGGAAGCGAATCTGTACTTCTTTGATGTATATAAAGGCAAGAGTCAAGGTAATGGGGGCTCAGTTCACAAAGCGAGAGAAGAAAACAGGTAAGATTTTTAATGACCACTCAGCCCCAGCAAAGGCATAAAATAATCTGATTCTTTGCTGCCTTCATCCACTCATTCTATAATTTGGATTTTAAACGAAATAGGTACCTTTAGGCAGGTACCCGATGGATGGTCTTGAGAGTTCAAATCCTCCCCCAAAACCTCAAGAACTAGAATTTTAGCCTCCCTGTGTTATAGTACTAGCAGCCACTGTGTAGTCCTCAAAATCTGGAAAACTTCCGCTCACAAGTATTCAGGGGCCATGTGACTTCTGAATGCTCTGTCAGGTGCTTTCGGTGACAACTCACACTACTCACGGGGTGAGAAAGGGGCAGATGGGAATGAGAAGGAAGGGCCCCTGCCTGTGAACTGGGTTTCTTAGGCTGACTGGTTGACCACTCCAGAAAGCAAAGTGCCACCTGAAAGACAGACTGACAGAAAATGGCATCGGCCACAGAGAAAGTGCTGGCACCTCCAACAAACTTGGGCTTGAGTAAGTGACTATGACAGTGAGATGTGCTAGAAAACCCAGTTGTGGTCACTTGAGTAACAGAACTCTAGGTTAGTAGAAATAAGCTTTTTCTAAATGGCTTTACATCTAGAGTAATATTAGTTCTGATACTGAGCATACTTTGTGAAACTACTAATTTGGCATCCACTAATCATTAACACACTAATTTTTTTGTGGAGAAGCAGAAGGAAAGATTTCTTTCCTGCAGTCACCTTTGGTCACTGTTAGCCATCACTCAGCTTCTAACTCCTTTATAGACAAAAATGTCCTTCACCTGCTAATCAAAAAGGCCACAGTCATGTCTCCACATACCTCCCTTCCAATCTCCTGCTTCAAGATCAAGTCACTTCTCTGCTTAAAATCTTCCGGTGGCTTCCTTAGATTAGAATCCAAGACACTGCCTGCCTCTTGCACCTCAGTGATACCAGCCTTTCCTTCCCCGCCCTCCAGCCACACTGGTCTTTCTGTGGCTCAAAACACACCAGCCCACCCCCGCCTTAGGGCTCCGCATTCCGGCTTTCTTAGCCTGCAGTACATTCCCAGCCAATGGCTGCGTCTCAAAATGTAGCTCAGAAATCACTGCCTCAGCAAGGCCTTCCCTGGGTCCCCTGTTCTGCCCTGTTTATTTTCCTCATAGCTTTTATCGCTACCATAAATTATTGTTTATGTCTCCCCACAACAAAAACAGAGAAGGATTTTGTGTGCCTTGGTTCCTTGTGTGTCTCTAGTACCTAGAGCAGTGCCTGGTATATAGTAAATCCTCAAAAAAATATCCGTGCAGTGAAATGAATGGATGTTTTGCGTGTAAAAATGACACCATCACTAAGAGCTGTACTTTGAGTTGACTTTCAGTCTGGGGGGATGGGCTGTGGGATCTATCATCCTCTGTCTGCTCAGGACTCCTGATACGCAACGGTCCTTGTTTGCCAAGAATCCAGGCCAGGTTTGGGGTGCAGTATGAAAAAATGGGATAGAAAATCAGAGCTGATTCATATGGAATTAAACCCAAGACCCATCTAACCTTCCAACAGGCCACAATGAAGAAATTAGGGATGCATTTTTAACAGTTATTTCTGTAAATTCTGTATTACTCATCAAAGCCAAATAACCTTCTGGTTGCTTTTATCACAAATGAAAACAAAATAAATGGAGAGATAACGAACTGACACTAGCTGCATGCAGAGCAGCCTTCACTTTTGCCGGGAGAGGCATCTAAGGGGTTCAGCGTACCTGTCATGAGGAAAAGGAGGCCAGCCACATGCTGGGTCAGGCTTTCCTCCCAGAAGAAACTGACCGTGGCCACAATGCAGCCGCAGAGCAGGACGGCTACAGCCATGCCCAGGAAGCCAGCCGTTATTCTTCTCAAATCTAATCTCAAAACAGAAACGGACATTCAAAATAATAAACAGAAGAAGGACAGTCATTGACAACTGGGAATGAAGAGCTTTGCATATGTTGTGTAGATTAACGAGCTACATGACAAGCTTACAACCTACAAGGCCAGGTGGTTTAGGGCATTCTCTTCCCAGGTATTTCATAAGAGGACCGATTGGGTGTAACAAATCAAGGGCTCTGAGTCTACCCTCCCTGAGTCCATGCAGAAGTCCATACCAAGCAGAGAACAGACCAGAGGGCAACATCAGAGCCAACTTGAGTAACAGAGAACAAGTTACTGAGTAACCTGAGAGCAAGGTAGCTTTGCAAAATATCTTTATTATCCTTAAAAGAGCAATAAAAATGTAGGTTACCACCACTGAAATGGCTGTAATTAATCTGACTTTGGAGAAAGAGCCTAAAAAGTGAGCTATTGTGAAATATGGTTTTCCCTAAGTACCACGGATGCCGATTATTTTCTTTTTCACTTACATCTATCTATTCCTGCCTGGTTTCAGAAAGGACTTGAGAAAGTGTAAGCAATTGTGGTGACCGAAATAGGGCCCAAAGTACACATTTAAGTCTTCTGATCATAACCACCCTCTCCCCTTCAACGTCGCCCCACAACCCAAGCACCCATTTCCCCAGGTTGGTGTCCACTGTATACATAACTGTCAGGGTTAGTCTATGACAAAAACACAACTGTGCCCACTGGGCCAGGAATACAGCCTCTCCCTCACCTTTAGGCCAAACCAGGGAATGGACTGGCTCCGCGGACTCGGACACACTTCCACTCCGATCGCTGCCCTGAAGCAGCACTCTGATTGTCCTGCTATCTTTACTTCTGTCTGTTTTCATCCTTCTTTTTTTTTTTTTTTAAACAAATGCTAATATTAAAAATTGTTAGCTACATTTCTATGATCTTTCTTAAAACAATAGATCCCAAACATAGGTCTGCATGCAGCCCCTGAGGCCAGTCGACAGGTCTGCTTTCCTGAGTTACCTATCACCTGTGTACACATTCAGCCCCGGCAAGCGGCAAGACCCACTGTCTGAAGCATGGGCTGCTCTATTCCAGTGGAAGCACCCAGCCACCTGGTTACATGTGCGTGTGGCTCCTGGTCCTCTTAGGGGTGCTGCATAGAGGGAGGATTACGGTAGCCTCCAGTCTGGCTCCTAGTCACACATGGACCATCCCTTTCTTCTCAGGAAATTTCTCATTTCCAACTCAGAGCATCTAAATTAAAGCAGGCCATTGCTGACCAGAAATGTAGACACCACAAGGCCGGAGGCCTGCAACAGTGATAATTTAGAGGGGCTGAATTTAATGTTAAGGGTATAAGTCGTTTTGAGACATGCACATCTGAGCAGGGTAAATGTAATAATAGTTCAGCTACTCTTATCTCACAATCTCCTAAATTCCCTATGGTTCAAGTTTTATTTTCTATGACCATTAAAAGGCGTAGGGTTCAGGTATAATCCACATGGGATTCACATTGGTATCAGACATGTTAAACTTCTCTGGTAAACACGGTATAGATCACCAAGTGTGATTTTCTTAGAAAGAGCCATCATGAGATTTTTTTAAAAGTGTCTTTCCACGAGAACTTCAAAAAGGATTATAAGGAGAATGCTCAATTCGGTTTTGCTGGGCAATAACAGGGTATAAACTCTGAGTAGAGATGAAGTTCTTTTTCAGGATCCTGTGATGATCTTTTCTGATCTGACTAAAACCAGTGACTATGTGGCTTTCTAGACAGATGATTAAGACTAAGAATTCCCAACATGCTCATAAAGAATTAAAATACAAAAAGGCCTAGATAAGACTAATTCAGATCTGCTGAGAAATGATCATTAACATCAGCCAGCAAGAAAGAATTTTCAGGAAGTCATACTATTAAGAAATAAACCACATTTTAGTCAATGACTTTCCTTATCCTAAATTTGCCAATCATAATATTTATGATATCAGACCACTGCAACAGAGCTTCCATTTATGCATTTGAGATTCAAAACAGAACCTTTTGATCTGCAAAGAGGTTTATTTAGAAAATGAGACCCTGCTTGGTTTTCTGCAGTGCCTTTAGCCACCAAACGAGATCACCGAAGTCCTTGCCACTTATTTCGTTGGAAAAGAAAAACGTCAACCTCTAATTAGGGTAAACACAGAAAAGAATTTTGTCTAATATTTGCTTTCCTGAGTTACCTATCACCAGGCAGCATGAATCAATAGTTTTCAGGTAAATATCAGCCCTTTTAAGCATCACACTGCATGCTCCTTTCTAGAGTTTCATATTTTCCTGACAATGAAAAAGGGTAATACCTGCTGTTGAGATGCAGAGGTAACAGACATCCTCTGAGAAAATTACAACGTACACTCATAAAAATATTTTAGCGGAAATATCAAGGTCCAAGATAGACACGGCACCTAAAATGAATACTGTATAAAGATAAAAGGACTTACGGTATAATCTCCTTGGTTAACACTGAGCAGGACCTTATACCTGATGACGTGGTAAGGAAAAAACTCAGGAAGCCACTTGTGTATCGATGCCACCAGGGCAGGCAGACGCGCACACTGCACTGTCTCACAAGACCTCATGCCTGACTTTCACACATTTGATGTGTAAACGAGTTGTGACTACAGCATAGTGAAATGACTCCCTGAGTCTCTAACCAGGTCAGATTGAGCCCAGAGGCCCACATGTGATCAGCATAGCATCTTTCACTCCAAACCTGAGAGGGCTGATGGGAATATTTTCATTCAAAAAGACACTATTTCCAGTCTGAGCCTCTCCCAGAAATACTCACGAAGCAGGTGCCATTCATCTTGTTGTATTGTCTTGGTTAAATTGAAAGGAATGTTTCGTAAGCGGATTGGCTGAGAAAAGTGGTACTTGATAGCTGTGCATCGTTGCGCAATACCTTGAAGAAAATAAGAAATGCGATTTACTAGTCTGTGCATTTGTAATAGAATTCTGGAGACCCAAGGCAGAATAATGTATTCTAAACAGGCTGGAATGGGGGAGGGAGTAGGAATTTCTTGATTATTCTCATTAATAAAGACAAGTCAGAGCAGTAAAATCCTAAAACATGAAATAATTTTTTAAATCATGTTTTATTTTTGAATATATTAAATTTGATAAGGATCTAAACTCCCCTAATTGTATTACAACACTGAGTATATAATAACTAAACACGAAACTCCTCAAGAAGAAATGGCTTAAAAGTACACAGATGGTTGGGAGAAATCAGCTTGAAATATTAAATTAACACGGATAAATGACACATGTCTGAATTTGGTCCAATCTCTAACTCTCAAATGGGTTGCATCAAAAAGTTCATTAGGAAGTGCATTATCGGAAACTGGAAGACACTGTTCCATAAAGACAACCTTCTACGTGGCGGTTTAGGCGGTGAGTAAGTCACCAGGCAACCCACAGGAGCCAGCTGATGTAATTCCTGGATGTGACTTTCACTGAACTGCATTCTGGCTCCTGAGAGAAAAGATAATATTGAAAAATTTCCTCCCTTTCCTGGTTTCTGACCATCATAGGCACAATATTTTGAAATGGGCAAGTGTACCCATTGCTTTACACCTAGTACTTTCTCCTGCCCTCCCTCCCAACTCATATATTTATTCCATAAATTAATACAGGCCTGTTTTCCCCCTTAAGTCTTCTGAATCTCATAAAAGTATCTACCTTCTGTCAAATTAAAACACAACAATACTTCCTTCTTTCACTGTGAATCATCTTGGTCAGTCGTTTTGAGAAAATGCAATCTGATTAGATTAACTTTTAAAGAGATGTGAGTGAGTGTTAATCCTTTAATTCTGGCAGCTGTTAAAAAAACATTCTCATAGATGCAAATAAATCCCTAATTGGTGAGATTTGAGTAAGCATAATACTCAATGCTGGAATTAGGGGGTGGACTGGGGAGAAATTTTTCCCCTAGACTCAGAAGAGCTGCCCCTAGAACAAGTCCTGTGCTAGGGAAATGTGTAGTCTCTTTTACATCATTGCAAATACCCTCAGGGTCCAGCTCCTCCAGCGCCCCTTGGTGGGAACGGTCATGACCCCAGTGGGCAGGGAGAGTAGCAGAAATGAGGTGAGCAGCCGGCCCAGTGCTCTCCCGCTTCCCCAGGGGAATCCGGCAAGTGCCAGGAATGAGGTAAGCAGTGCACACATCACCCGAGTTACCTTTCCTTTCCCATTAGGCTCCCAGGCTAAATTTAAACTGACAAGATCCCTGAAATGAGATGAGAAAAGAAGTAGGGAGAGTGACAAGGTCTGGCCTGGAAAATAACAAGCAGTCCTCAAAGATCCCAAACTCTGGGAGTCTGGTGGTAAGCCCAGGGCTCCTCAGCTGAGTTTGCAAGAAAATGTTCTACAACCCTGGTGTTCTACTCCCTTGGAAGATGATTAGAGACTTCAGGCAGAATTAGAAGAGAAAGTGGGAGTGAAGGACAGATCAGCATGTGTCAGAGGCCTGCCATCAGCCATTCTATTTCCTCGTTCTTATACACTTGTTCCATGTCATAGCAGAAAGTCTAATAGCTTCAAAGAGGAAAGTATATTATTAATGTTTGGCTTCCTACAGCATACACGTAAAATGGACAAAATGAAACTTGACAAAAATCACACAGGAAAAGACCTGTAGTTGCTTGATGGCTTGTCAAAGACAAATTAGGGCCTTTTACACACACACACACACACACACACACACACACACACACACACACACAAATATCACTGATGGTAAGACGTAACATCCATGCAGTTATGTTAAAGGGTGATACTGTGAAAATCCACAAGGAGGCATTAGACTCAAATTTTTTCAAAGCCATGCATGCAAACTTGGAAATTAACTGGCTTTCCGGGTTTAGAGAGCAATGAATCCGGCTCTATGAAAAGGAACACAAAAAACATGATCTCATTGCACCAGATGGCATCACACAATGGGGGGAAGAAACATGCAGAGGGTTGAAAAGAACAAGTTGTGTTCTATATTTAGTGATTAATGAGCTTCTTAAAGGGCCAAGTAGAGGCACTTTAATGATGACATAAACCATAGAATAAGATCTATTAATATGCTACACAGAGGTTAGGAATGGAGTTTGTGGCCTGGTGAATTTCTGTTGTTTCTGGTGCTTAGAGAGAGGAATCAAATCCCAAGCTAAGTCATAGAAACCCATACTTTATTATAAATGAGAGAGAAAGGTGAGTAACAGCAGAAGGTGCTGTAAAAATGTTATTAGTGACAATCAAAGAGGAGGCAGTATATGTGGTAGCTAAAGGCCTTGCAGTCAGACACACTTGGATTTGAATCCCAGCTGTGTGACTTTTGGCAAATTACTTAACCTCTCAGAGCCTTCTTCTGTTTAAAAGAGGGGGAATAATGGCAGATACTTTATATGGGGTTATTGTGAGGAATGAAAGAGGTAATTCAAGGACTTAGCATAGGATGTGGTCCACTCTCAGCACTCAATAAATGTCATCATTTAATTATGACTTATCTCTTGGCACCCACTCACATTCACTATATAGAACTATTGTCAAATACTAAGAGTCTACCCTAAATGGGCATCGCAGATTAACCCGGGCAGACACATGAAAGAGCTGTCCGAACAATGGCCCATCAATGTCTCTCCTGTTTCCTCTCCATTCTCACCACTTCAGGGCAAGATGCCCATCATCACTTCACTCCCCTATTCTCCCCACCCTCCAATGCACCCTGCATGCCTCTGCTAGATAAATCTGCCGTGTGAAGATTTGGGGCCTCTTGAGCCTCAGCTACCCATCTGTAATGTAGAAGATGAAAACCTTTAGGATTTTCACTACATCCACCTACCTTTTACAGTATCATTAACTTAATATGTTTCTTTAAATTGATTACTATAATAGTTTTACTTGCCATAATGTAATTATGTATTTATTTAGAATTATGTATTTATTTAAAACAGCCACATAGTCAGTGCTACATAAAGGATTATTAGGTAGCTTTAATGCTGTGCCAATGTGTCAGCTTCCACACTTAGGCAAACAGAAGATAACATCTCTAATGGTTCCAGAGAGCAATACAGCTGGGTTTCCATAGTCAGGCTCTGCCTTGTCCCTGTCCAGAAATATACCATCAGCTCCCCACTGAATCAAACACAGGCTCTAGGTCCCTATTACCTTCCTTCCCCTCACCTCAATTACTCTTACCTGTGACTGATGCCCAGCCTCCCAGACATGCACCCTGGCCATATGGTACTGATTCCTTCCTCTCTGTACAGCCTTCACCTTGGAACAATCCAAAACAGACAATGCCCTCCAGATTCACATTCAAAAGACCTTCCGCAAACACAGGAGCCCAAGCAGCTAACTCCCTTCTCTGGCTTCATTCTAATATTAGAGGTTGAGCCACACAGTCTGGCTCTTGGTTACTTAGTCTTTGTCATTTCCTAATAAATCCGATAGTCTGCTTCCCTCTGAACTTCCCAAGTTCCTGAAGAATTGAGCCTGACTTCTTTCTGGGTCTGTGACGTTTAAGAGATGTCAACAACAACTGCTGACAACAGCAGTATAACTGAGGCTTCAGGTTCTCCAGCAGACGAAAGGGTTGGTGAACAGTCTGCATTGTTTCCTAAAACATTTCACAGGCAACTTGGAATTCCATAACTGACCCGTGGGCAGAAAAATAAAGAACTTTTTTCCTATCAGCTCTGCCTGCACACATCCTAGTTTAAAATGAAAGCTCAATCATGAGGTCATAAGGCAAGGTAGCTGCCATGTTCTTGTCAGAGAGATTTAATTTCAGAGGGAATTGGGTACTAAGCAGACAAAGGAAAATGTTTTCATCGCTACCTCTTGTCATGGGTATGAATACCCTCGCTTAGATAAATAAACCAAGTACAGTAAGTTTAGCAGCTTAATGCTCTCTTTTAAGCTTCAAATGACCAAAACAAGTCCTGAAAGTGAAGCTCCTGAGGACAAACCCGTCATCAAGTCAGAATTGAAAGGAGAGAGGTACAAAATTAGTAAATCTAGAGTGACACTGTCCAGTAAAACTACAGTGCAAGTGACATATATAATTTTAAATTTTCTGATGGCCATACTAAAAAAAACAGGTGAAATTAAGTTTCACATATGTTCTTTTAACACGCAATCAATATTTCGAAAATTATTGAGATATTTTATATACTTTTTTCATACTAAGTCTTTGATGTCGTGTGTGTTTTCTACTGATAGTGCATCTCCTTTTAGACAAGTCTCACCTCAAGTGCTTGACAGCCTCATGTGGCTGGTGACTACTGTAGCAAAGACAGGAGATTTCCAGATGAAGGTGAATAAGACTCCTGTCAGAGTAGAAGCAACTGAAAGCAAGAATGTTTCATGTAGGATGTATCTGAAAGGAATAAAAGTTATTCTTTGGATGCTCTCCACAATATACTTTCATGTCCTGCTGTAACTGTTTCCTATTACTGATACAGAATCAACTTCTTGGTAGTGTGGAGCATTAGTATCTGCATTTACTCTATATTCTCTTTGGAGCAAGACAGCCTGGATTTGCATTCTGGCTTCACAATTCACTAGCTGTGCCCTCGGCAAGTTACTTAACCTCTCTAAGCATCAGTTTCCTCGGCAAGTTACTTAACCTCTCTAAGCATCAGTTTCCTCGGCTATAATATATGGACAGTGATAGTTCATCTATCTCATAGAAGGATTAAATGAGACACTCATGTAATACTTGTAGTGTTAGTTTCTATTACTCCTGTTACTACTACTTACTACTACTGCTACCATTATTACTACTACTGCTATTTTATTTATCTGAACAAACCTAGGCAACTGGACTATTTCTTAATGTCAAGACTCAGGCAAGTTCCATGAACTGTAAATACATGATCTCTAGGGGACAAAGAGGGAGGATTCAATGAC